GGCCGCTGGACTCCGCAAGATTGTCTCTGAAGGCGAAACCTTTTTGCGTCTTTTTCCTGGGGACTTTAGGCGTCCCAACGACATGCCTCTTGGCAGAGTGCCCTTCGTTCTTATGCATCGACCGAATAGTGCAAGGGCAGGGATAGTTAAAAGCCTCGGCCGTCTTCGTGTAAATATACCACGAAAGAGACCTTTCACTTATAGACTCCGGGTTTGAAATCAACAACTATTACCAACATATTGATAAGAAATCATCTACGGCGGCAAATTCTATTTTGCACTGCCAACGACGCCAGGCACAGCTATCAAACAGTTAAATAGCGCCTGAATCGCATCAGGTTGGGGCTTCGACAGTAATGGGTGTGACACTTCCGTCAACGGTCATGAGAAACCAGAACAAAATATCCCAGCGATCAGCAAATGCAGCTGCCGTCTGGACGACACTCCGATAATAAGTCAAACGACAGTCATTGCAACTCTTCCCTTGTCTCTATTCCTAATCTGATAACAGCCTCTCTTTCTGCACAAATTCCGGTGATAGCTGAAGTCCGCTCGAATTTGGCCAACACACCCGAAGACTCAAACAGGATCTCTACATCAGCCAAACTCAACACGAGCACATTCATAATATTATCGGCATCATTCCGGCTCAACCTGTCAAAAGACCTTGCTTGCCGTAGCACACTTATTTGTGAGCTGGCCAAGTTAACTGGCGTGGGTGCGCTCCTCATCACGTACTTATCTAAAAACTGATATAATTCAGTCACCAATCTCGGAGTGCAATGATCTGATACAACACCGGTGTCACCCGGAGATTCGTCCACCGTGCTGTGTGTATCGCGTGTACTGACTCTGACATTCTCTTCTTGCTTCTTGCATGTTTCACTTCTACTACAATCGTGTATCGTTGTTCGCACGAGCTCGATTTTTCTGGCCGGGCTCTGATTATCATCCGTTGAGACCGGTGTAGCTTCACAAGCTTGCTTTTGTGCATCCGCCTCGGTTTGATACATTTTGAGCGAATTATACAACAGTTTACCATCGTGAAGGAAGAGAACATTCTCTTCACAGTAACGTTCTTGTGCGATCTTTAAAAGTGTAGGATACAGTCGATCATCATCCAGCACCGTCTGCAGTCCCGTTCTTTTACTTCGCTTATTTATCACCAAGCTCAGGCTGACATTGTCGTAATTTATATGATTATTTCGATGCAGATGCGCCACGAATGTTTGGTACACTGAGGGCCCAATCAGTTCCACATTAAATACCCAAACAACCACCATTATGGCATTGAAATGGTCGATAACTCGAACTGAACTGTTGAGATTCGGAAGAATAATGGCAAGATACAGAATTGACACGATCGATATCCCGCAAGTCGTCAATAATCCGACATACTGGTCACGCAGATATTTGGTTTTTCTTAATCTGACGCAATAGTAGATGGTCTCTAGGATCACACTGACAAGCAGTAATCTCAGGATCAATCCCGCAATAAAAAAGTACTTTTCTGGTAGATAGATCATAAATACGCACAGCGACGGAAGCACTGCGCAAAATACAACTCGCAGCACAACCTTCTTGTACTGTACATCGAAGTCGCCTTTCCTAAACACTAGGTACATTACCCTCAGTCGGGCTAAAAGAGCGGCTCCTAAAATAATGAGACCATAGCTTTCTGCAAACATCGCTAAAGCACTTGTCCACTTGACAGATCCCAGCTCGATATGATAGATATGCTGCATCCGAGATATAAAAATTATGTTTAATTAGAACGAAGACCGAATATAGAGATATGAAACAAAAAACACAAACATACGTTAGCAATAGAAGATCTCGAATATTTGCATAAAAATATACATGTATACATACAAAATTACATAGGGACATCCATACATACATACACAAATTCGTACATAATTGCACAGATATATACATAGCAAAATGCATACAAAAATACATACATATGTACATAAATACATACATACATACATACATGTAGGTGTAGAAATATATATATATGTGTGTGTGTGTGTGTGTGTGTGTGTGTGTGTGTGTGTGTGTGTGT